AGTTTAAGAGCTCTAAACTGAACTGACTGATAAGACGAGAGCTCTAAACTGACACTGAACTGACTGCCAAGCAATCAGTCAGTCAGTCAGTCTCATCAGTTTGGATTGATTGTTAGCAACTCTGGATCAAATCGAGGAGATGGTAGCGAATGTACGCAGACATAGTGACAACCTGAGGACTACGCTGCTCCTGGTTCACACGTAAGTTGCTTGTTTGCCAACAAGTAATTATGGGATGCTGAATCACTTTACAGTGTACTTGCCCATCTTGTATCTGTCCGTCCCGAGCGACCACCTGCATCCGACGTTGTGGAGCTGCAACACATGGTGACCAAGCTGCAACGCTCATCTCGGATCGGTCCAACTTGGCGATATTCCCATACAGAAGCTACATTGATGCAGTACGCGCAAGAAGTTATCGTCAAAGAGATGAAAATTTGCGAGCGAAATCCAACTGTAAACCGGACCGTTCAGGCTTTACATATCGAAAGTAACGATGACCGTGTCCCACAATGGGCGAAGGCCATACAAGCGATACGAGAAGATCAGCAAGAATCAAGGGTCTCTTCTGTAGTTCCTGCAATCTCTTCAAAGAGCCCTGGAAGGACGTATAGTGTACTGAGAAGTCTGTCGCCGATCCAAAACATGCAACAACATGAAGCGTCCGACTCGGATGATGATCTGGATACCGACTTCGCCAAAGCGGCATTGAGCACTGGCTCCCAAGCGTTCGACGCCGGTATATATGTGAGAAATGTCCCTATACTAATTGCGTGTGAGACATACACTGACTTCTGACATGAACCTCTCAGGAAGAGGCAGACTCTCTGCTTCAAGAAGCGCTAAGGATATTGCTATTGCTGCAAAAGCGAAGGCGAGCTTTCTGCGACGTCTTCAGTCTGCACTATAAGCTTGCAGTTTGTGCGTACCACGTTCAGGGACCGGCAGATGCCGAAAAGGCTTTGACCGGATTCGTTGAACAATCAGCGAACTCTGATACAGAACGTGAATGGATTCACAATGCAACTCACCTGTTAGCTCAGCTGTACGTCCGCATGAATTTTCTCGACCGCGCACGGATCGAATGCGAGAAGACCTTGCAAGCACGGCGACGGCTACAAGGAAAACAAAGTGCCGCCTCTTTAGAATCGATGGCGCTCATGGCCCACATCTATGTTTTGCTTGACAACCGTGCGCTTGCAAAATCGTGTCTTGCTATGATACCAGAGGCCAACCGGGAGACCGTGTTGAGAGTGGTCGAAGAATCACTTGGGAAGAATGTAGAGCACCTAGATTTCGCCTCACTGCTCTCACGAGTGAGACCTGTCGATGCCGATACGATTGCAGAGCGAGCCCATAGCAGCAGACTCTCTACAACAACCTTAGAGTCATCCTTGGATCACAATGGCAGCGACTCGGCGTCTGTGATGACGAAGTCACACGTAGCTGACCCTTGGCATACACCTCGAAGTATTGCATCCGAGAACGTTACCTTGTCGGATTCGAGTCCTCGTATAAAGAAATCGCACCCTTCTGTATCGAGTGAAACAGAGCGGGGGTTCTCAAAAGATGAAAGCCAAGTACGAGATTACTCTCCTAGCATAAGGAAAGCAGACGTAACGGTTGCGAGCTCATCTGAACCCGAGTACAAAGGGGAAAACAAGGCGAAGCCGCTCTCCCGTAAAGAGATACTCAACAAAGTTGGCTGTCAACCCCGAGACCGAGCTGAGGAGGCTGTTTGCGATGGAGATTACGGAGCTCTGATGACTACACTGAATAAGAAGAAAGGTTTCTGGCGGTCAAATGTGCGTAAGCGTGGCCGCACAGAGCGTGTGACAGCACTGCACTTTGCCGCTCTATTTGGTGAAGTTGACATGGCGCGGGCCCTGATACAGGCAGGTTTCGGCGTCAACGAAGTCCCTTTCGGCTATTCGACGACTCTGACACCCTTAAATTTTGCCATCGGCGCCCGGCAGGTGATCATGGTCGACCTGCTCACTATGAATGGTGCGGTACCGGCTTCACCAGACACATGGTCGACATTGGCAGGACAGCTGATGAGCCGGTCATGGCTGATGAAAACGATGTCGGAGGCTGAAAAGCACCTGGTCCCAAAACGGATTACTGAGATTATGGATATTCTACTTCACCGCGGATGGGATATCAATGCCCCAATAACGGCATCTGGAGGGACTGTCTTGCACCAAGCGGTATGTTTTTGGACCGGGGCATACAAATGGGATTTGAGTCTTCGCGCTGCGGTAACTTCATTCCTATGCGAGAGAGGCGCAAATCCATTTCAGGCGAACTCAGAAGGCAAGACCCCTTATGATATTGCGTCCGCCTCTGAACACCAGGACCTCATGGTGATCATCGAAGACCACTCCAGACAGAAAAGGCTCTTAGGCACACCTGCGATGCCAGTTGAACTGCCCGGTCAGTCCCATTGACATCGCTGATGCGCTTTTAAATTGGGTCTCCTGGAGTACATCGGCTCACACAAGCCGCTGAAACCTGCGGAACAGACGGTCTGGGATAGACGAAATCTGATTTGATCAGCGTCATGAAGCCTTGTTGGAAGCGACACACATTAGGAACAGAAATGGCCGGCATACAACGATGAAGTCGATCTGTAGCTCATAGATGCGCTATGAACGCGAGAGCATGTCCTCGTGAATTCGCCTATGTACTTGGATGCGACAATGGAGAAGGCTTCTACGAAGGCTATCGCACCTTTGAATAGACATGTAATGTGTCTGCAAGGCGTATACAATAATGCAGGAAGCTAGAGTCTACTAGAAGAATTAACTGCGAATGCCTCCCAGCTGGCTGGTGGTAGTAACAAAGAATCAAGGAAAACCGGCCGTTTTTCCTAGAAGAAGACTACTGGATCTGCCTGTAGTTGACTGAGTCCAGGTAAAGAGTCATGCATGACGGTACAGAATACATCGTGCGACGCTGGCGGATCATCCTGCTTATCCGTCAAAGGTGTGAGCCGCACATTGCGGACTTGATTCTTGGCTTCAGGGCTTAAATGACGTATGAAATCCAGAACAGGCAAATAGTTGAATGCATAGAAATGGAACTGGTTCTCCGAGTATATGATTTGCAGGCATTCGTGATAGATCAGGCGATTCGTCCGTAAAACATCCAGACTTAAGTGTCTGTCAGGGTGAGGGCGGCAATTCTTGTTCCATTTCCTGCTGATGGATCGTGCGTCGCAATCGGTGTAGAGAATAAATCGCTTGTTTGATGATGGTAAGACATATCGGAAAATCTCCCTCCGAATCTCAGACGGGATGCGTAGTAAAGGTGGGTAGGTGTCCAAGGGTGATATGGTTTCGGCAAGCGAAATTTGTTTCTCTACACTCTCTTTTGAACGGCGTTCTAGGCGACGTAGGCAGATGTCCTCCGTTGTCTTGGGTGTGGGTGCCATCTATACAGATGTCAGTACTACGCGAATATCATAGGCACTACATGGCCTGACCTTCTTGGCAGATGTCTTGGCCGGCATGCTCGTAATATGAACGCTTACGAGAGAGCTCGAGATGCAGTCGGGAATAATGGCAAAGTTCTGCGATAGGTTCAGATCGTATTGGCAATCAACCCTGGGAGACGAAGCGGTCACGAGGTCATATGTGCCGTGTCAATGTCACTATGCAGCACGGAATTGATCGTTCGAATGCGTCGACGACAAGTGTTTAGGCTGGGAGCTTCTGGGATATGCGACGACGTAACTGTGGTACAATGCATGGAAGGACTGTAGAATGCCGAGCGAAGGTTGTCAACAGAAGTCGGGAAACTTACGCACGGTCCTCCGGCTTGGCAAAGGGTCGTGCTCTGGAGATTGGGAAAATTCATGGGACGCGTTTGTTTGATCCCCGCATACAGCTGCGCATAGCTCACCGTGCCCCTCACAACACACCACCAGCTTTATTTGAATCACAAAGCTTCCACAATCTGGGCCCGAGTCTTTGTATTTCTCTAATCAGACAGCATGTCGTTCGGCGGTCAAACACCGACCATTGTGGTGTTGCGGGAGGGTAGGTGCCTCGACACTTTTTGATACATCGCTAACAGTCTCAGGTACCGATCAGTCACAGGGCCGCGGTCAGGTAATATCAAACATCAACGCTTGCCTTGCTGTACAGGCCACGATCAAGGGAACACTCGGACCATATGGCGGTGATCTACTCATGGTCGATGAGAATGGCAGGCAGACAATCACCAACGATGGTGCCACAGTCATGAAGGTAGAGCCTGCTGCAAAATTTCAGCTTCCTTAGCGGGTCTAACTGTACACAGCTCCTTGATATCGTTCACCCCGCCGCCCGCGTTCTCACCGACATCGCACGATCGCAAGATGCCGAAGTGGGCGATGGTACCACTTCCGTCGTGGTTATTGCAGGAGAGATACTGAAGGAGATCAAGGACTTTGTCGAGCAGGGAGTCAGTAGCCAGACTATCATGAAAGGCCTCCGGAGAGCATCGCATCTTGCTGTCAACAAGATTATGGAGATCGCCGTAGACACTGCCGAGGGCAACCAGCGGGATACTCTCCAGAAACTTGCCGCGACCGCCATGAGCAGCAAGCTGATTCACAGGAATGCCGACTTCTTCACCAAGATGGTCGTAGACGCTGTACTCTCGCTCGACCAGGACGAGCTGAACGAGAAGCTCATCGGAGTAAAGAAGATTACTGGTGGTGCGCTCCAGGATTCGCTTTTTGTCAATGGTGTCGCATTCAAGAAGACCTTCTCATACGCTGGTTTCGAGCAACAACCGAAGACTTTCAAGCAGCCGAAGATCGTGTGCCTGAACGTCGAACTTGAGCTGAAGAGTGAGAAGGACAACGCTGAGGTACGGGTAGAGCAGGTCTCGGAATATCAGGCGATTGTCGACGCAGAGTGGCAGATTATCTACAACAAGATGGAAGCGCTATACAAGACGGGTGCCAAGGTTGTCCTGAGCAAGCTCCCTATTGGAGATTTGGCGACACAGTACTTCGCGGACCGCGACATCTTCTGTGCTGGACGCGTAGCGGCAGACGATCTCGACCGCGTATGCCGCGCAACAGGCGCGAGCCTTCAATCCACCTGCTCTGATATTCAGAGCAAGCACCTCGGAACCTGCGAATCGTTTGAGGAGCGACAAATTGGTGGCGAGCGCTTCAACTTCTTCGAGGGCTGCCCGGAGGCCAAGACTTGCACATTGGTGCTTCGCGGCGGTGCAGAGCAGTTCATCGCCGAGGTCGAGCGAAGCTTGCACGATGCAATCATGATTGTCAAGCGTGCGATCAAGAACAGGAACATTGTTGCCGGAGGTGGTGCCGTCGAGATGGAGATCTCCTCATACCTACACAACTACGCCGACAAGAACATCCCGCATAAGCAACAACCTATTATCAAGGCGTTTGCAAAGGCCCTCGAGGTCATTCCCAGGCAGCTCTGCGATAACGCCGGTGTCGACGCGACGGACATTCTCAACCGACTCCGCGTAGAACACAAGAAGGGCAACATCTGGGCTGGTGTCGACTTTACAACAGAGAGCATAGCGAACAACATGGAGAGGTTCGTCTGGGAGCCTAGTCTGGTCAAGGTCAACGCTCTGCAGGCAGCAACGGAGGCGGCATGCTTGATCCTGAGCGTTGACGAGACAATCAGTATGTGAGATGACATTCCAGGGCAAAACAATGCTAACAGTATGCAGAGAACCAGGAGTCACAGCAACCACAAGCCCCCAACAGGCCGCTACCGCCTGGCGCTGCACAGAGGGCGCTGGGTGGTGGAGGAAGGGGACGCGGCCGCGGAATGCCCAGACGGTAAAGACACCAGAGCAGAAGAGAGTGTGTATACCAAGACAGAGACACCTATGCTACGCCATGTTGCAGACGCAGATGTCCATGAATAATGCAAAAATGATGAATCGAACAAGTATCTTGTTCACAAGTCTTGAGCGCACCGAAGAATTTTCGATGGACATGAAACGATGCAGTGAATTCTATCAAGGATATTTGAATTGCTCCTTCACACTCGTTACGACTCCTTAATGCCTCTCTCGCCCCAGCTCATGCCATAGCTCTTTACCCTACTAAAGTAGAAGGCACGATCATTCTTCAATCCAAACTCGGCCCAGTCATCCGTCAACCGGTTATAACTCCAGTACCCTTGCCAAACAAGTTTGTTGTTCTTAGCTCCTCGCCCTGCATTGCCAAAACTCAGTGCCATCTTGTACATGTACTTTGGCGTGGCGCCTGGTTTCTCGATATGCAGCGTGCCCTCCGGTTCCTCGCTGCCAGGCTCCGGACCGCTCATGCGCCAGCGGCCTAACACGGCATCTTTCATTGGTGCACTGGGCAGGTTGTGATGGTTCTTGTGAATGTGTTCGACATACAAGTAGGGAACCACATCGGCGGGCTCGGTAGTGGTGAGTAGAGAAATGCATGTCCCGTCGCGCAGAAAGCGCAGGTAGCGGAAGTAAGTTACAATATGGATAGGCGAGTTCCAGGATGATGTTGTAGGTAGTGCTTGTCCCGGACGCGTATAGTTGACCGTACTGATGTAGCAGCCGTTGAACCGAATGCGAGGGCGTTGTCGAAAGAGTGTGCGGTAAGTGGGGTATGGTGTTGGGACGAGAAGCTGGGTCAGTGCTGCTGGAGAGAGTGATTCGGCTGCGGCTTCGATGTCTTCGGTATCAGAGAGGTCAAGGTTTGCAGCACCTAGAGTGATTCCGCCCATGTCGTCGTCATTGAGCGGTTTCCCACCAACTTGACACGACCATGTGTAGTGCATGGACGCGAAGCCATATTCGGGCCCTAGAGCTAAACGTTTCCAAACACGGTCTTCGGTGGTCACTAGGTAAGCCAGGCGTTTACACACTTGGGCCAGGCGAGCGAATGACGCAATGTCTTGTATGGCGAGTTGCTCTAATATCTCAACAACAATCTCTTCTGGAATACTGGATATCGGACATGGAGGCGCGGGGCTTAGATCGGTTGGTGCTAGCTCACCGAGAATAGAAGTGCTGGCGTATTCGTTGATCAGGCTTTGGTACGTGGAAGAGAGACCATGTAGGGAGTGGTGGGCAGTGTTGGGCACTGTGGCTGAGGCATTGGATGGGTTGGGGTCCTGGGGTTTGGGTACAGGGTGGGACGATGCTGGTGTTGATGATGAAACTGAAGCGCTTGCTGCTTGTGCAGCTTTGAGTTTCTTGAAATATGAGGGCGGGAAGTGTTTCGCTTTGTACGTCTCTTGAACGCCAGAATCGAGCTACCAACATCAGACGATAGTTTATGGTGACATTGAAGTCAACGCACCTTGAATGCTTTTCTGTACAGGTCTACACTGTCACCCAGACTACCTTGGCTTTCCTTTTCTACGGCTTTTTCATAATGTTCTAGAGCAGACGTCGGTTCGGTCTCCTCAGCAATGGGGGCAGCGGTCTGAGCGCTCGTTTCATCAAGTCTCCGGCCATGCTGCTTCTCACCCAGATTATGGTAGGTATAGGAGTTGACTTCGTCACCGCCTTCTAGGCTTAGGCTTCGAGCACGAGTGTGATGCTGCACATCAGGCGCATTGCTTTTGTTTGCATGAGATTTGCTCGTTGAGGATGAAGTAGCGGTGTTCTTGACCGACACAGGCGAGGCAGGCGCCTTGCCCTTTGATCTGGCAGTCACTTCTTCCCTCCATTTCTGTCGGAAAGACTCGAGCTCGGCCTCGGTGTTGGTGGGAACGTCTTGAGGGTCCATGGCAAACTTGGCCAAGAGCGGTGGTACTTGGGTATCGGTTAGACGCGGTATGTCCGAAGTCGCAGGATGTGGACGAGAACAGGGTCCAATGCAGAGGCTAGCAACAGGCTTTTAGTAAGGATACGAATTCAATTGACGTGTGACTCTAGAGAAAGTTCCGGTGCTCGCAGTGATTAGGCGTGCATGACGGGGCCTGTGAAGTTGCGGCAGGGCGATGACGGGCGCCACTCGATCCATGTTCTAGCCTCGCGCAGTGCGCCATCTGATAAGCCGACGCCCTTTTGTCTCTGACAATCGGCATGAGGGGCCAATCATCCAACGTGGGCGGCGCGGGAATGACGCGCCAAAAAGTGTAGCTCCGATAATTAAGTCGTTGCGTCAAAGCTTCCCGTCGCCTTCGTCACCACTTATACACGCCCATCACTCCAGAAGACAATGCGCACAACGCCCTTTTTGCGCATCCAGCCCTCTGACAAGACCCCTCGCACCGCTTCGAGGCTATCCCCCACCTCCCTGCTGCCACTCCCAAAGTAGGCAACATGGCGATGGCCACGCAGCGAGCCGAGGCAGCGGATCCGACCGGCGTGGGAGAAGTGTCGCTCGGCCAAAAAATGATGTCTGCCGTCTCGGGTAGTGTCCTCACGTCGTTGCTGGGTATGTCGCATCTACGCAGTTGTTTGCCATGCCAGAACTGACACCAGCAAGTCACCCCTCTCGACGTCGTCCGCGTACGACTGCAATCGCAAGAAACCGTCCCGACCACCTCGCCACGCCCACGCGGATTCAATGGCCCAACACTCACACAATTCCGCGATCTACCACCCAATCTCGGCATCTCCTCGTGCTGCAGAGAGGTTTTTTGGATGAACAACAAGGCACCCTTCTGCGTAGCGGGGCCAACTATGGCGCCCATAAACCCCGCCGATTTGAGCTGTGCCGTGGAGGAGGTCGAACGCAAAACCATAAATAGCACTTGGGACGGTCTGCGCAAGATTGCCCAGAACGAGGGCCCGCGGACACTCTGGAGAGGACTGTCACCGACCCTAGTCATGGCAGTGCCTGCAAACGTCATCTACTTCGCCGGATACGACTGGCTGCGAACAGCACAAGCCTCACCTTTGCGACAAACAGTTTCCGATGCGTACATACCATTAGTGGCAGGAGCCACTGCGCGAGTTCTTGCTGCCGTAGCAGTGGGTCCCATCGAAATATTCCGAACACGAATGCAGGCAGCAAATTCTACTGCCACCGCCGCTGGGCACTTCCGCGATACAATGGACGGGCTCAGAGAAATGGTCGGCAGCCAGGGTGTCTCCAGTTTATGGAGAGGCCTCACGTTGACCCTCTGGCGCGATGTACCTTTCTCCGCCATGTACTGGTGGGGTTACGAAGCCACAAGAAACGTCTTGACAGACCAACGAGGAAGAAGGGAGGCCAGGAACGATGGTTTCGAATTCCGCATGGGCCGAGGCGAGGAGAGAGTACGGAGAAGAAGCAGGTCAAGAAGCCAGGAAAACCATAGAGACACATTGGTCGACAGCTTCATCGCTGGTGCTACGTCAGGAGCAGTTGCTGCTTTCATTACCACACCATTTGATGTTGGAAAGACACGCCAACAAGTTGCGCGGCACATGGGCGACACTGCAAAGGACATCGCAAACTCAACACGGCCAGAAGACCAATCCATGCCACGCTTCCTCGCGCATATCTACCGCGAACAAGGCATGCCGGGTCTGTTCAAGGGCTGGGCAGCCAGATGTCTCAAGATCGCGCCTGCATGCGCTATCATGATTAGCTGCTACGAGTTCAGTAAAAAGATGGCCTTGGATATGAATGGACGACGGGAACGGGAACGATTAGAAGCATGAACTGCAATACGCCACACCACCAACCCTGGTGCGTAGCACACACCACATCCATTACTCGCGTTATCGGCTTCACACATCATATGATAATTGCATAGCGGCGCATTGGGAGCGTACAGGTTAGAACCCACTCATGGTTGCATTGGCGGCGTTTCGTGCAGACAATGGGCGGGCATTGTTTAATTGTGTATTTGGAACCGGATTGAAGCGATACCAGCGAATACGTCTGTACATGGCACAGGCAGCACTCAATAATGAAAAGTCACAACCATTGGTCATGCTGACTTGCTTTTTCAGTGCCTTGTCTACTCACATCCCTCAAGAAAGCGAGGAATGCTTCCTGACATGTCTCTGCCTGACTGACATATATCTCATGGCCCGGGCCCTCGACGAGCACCAACTTACTTCCTTGGATTGTCTCAGCCAAAACCTCCATGTCTTGTACTTTCACAGCAGCACTCTGCGTTGGCGATAAGATCAATGTTGGTACTTTGATCTCCCTCAACCACGGTCTCGCGTCCAGTGTTGACAAGAACTCCGCATACTGAGCCAACCCCTCACCATCACTAACAGCAATCTGTTGCAGATACCACGGAAGATAGTGCGGATCCGAAACCGGAATTGTGCCAGGAACTCGCGACAAGGCCTCCGCCCAACCCCGCGATCCAAGCTCCCTGCATGCCGCCGGCCAATTCTTCTTACCGAACGCGAAGAGTTGTAGAGCTTGTGCCGGCAAATGAGTAGGTGTTGAGCATACTGTCAAGCTCAAAACTCTCTCGGGATGCCTGGCTGCGAATATCTCGCCCAGCATACCTCCAGTTGACTCGCCAAGGAAATGCACTTTCTCCACGCTGAGTTGGTCGAGCGTGTCGAGGATTTCCCCCAAGATTGAATCTACGGTATAGTCATACTTTGCTGTGTCCTTTGGATAACTAGAGTGTCCGTGGCCTCTCAAATCGCGTCGTATGACACGGTATTGGCGAGATAAGATTGGGACCCAATGGTACCAGAACGCGGCATGCCGCCCAAAACCATGTTGTATCAAGATTGTCTCTCGGGGTTGCCAAGGATCGGTAAAGTCGTCGAGGATGTAGTGAGTTCGCTGACCGGAGGGGTGGTGAACGAATGTCAGACCGGATGCGTCGCGATCTAACGGCATGGTCGACAAGTGTCGAGACTGTGAAGTCTTCGTGTCGCTCGGTTTTCTTTACTGTCCATAATATTCTACTCAACTCTGACCTCATATCTTCATTGCCGACTTCATTCCACTAGTACCGTACTGGTGTATTCTGGGGTACATCGGTTTGTGGGGCATTTGCGGGGAAGCTGCAACGCCCACGACTATACCCCAACGCTTGGTATGATGCGGCATCAACAAGAGCTACCGTAAAGATTGAAAGACTTCAAGTTTTTTTTCCCAAGTAGAGCTGAACTATCATAGGTTGAAGTTGATCTTTGAACAGTCAGAATTCGTAGTGACTGAGCTTTTCATCTCCACATAGCGAGCATCGGCCATGTCCATCCTCGATATCGTTCAGGCATCTTGGGGATCATCTTTTGTCCTCAAACTAGGGCTAATCACTACAACACCAATACTACTCTTGTTGACGGTATACTTCATTGTTGTGCCGAACGCTATTAAGGTAACGCTGTTCATCCGATAGCCCGTCTCGTATCTCTACTGACCTCACCTGTAGGATTCTCGGCGTCGACATCTACCACCAGGCCCAAAAGGGCACCCATTCGTCGGTTCTCTCTTTGAGCTCGCAGATACGGAAGCTGTGCGTGATAAAGTCATCGCATGGCGCAAACAATATGGCCATGTATTTCACACCAAGATTGGCGGAACAGACTACATATGGCTATCTTCACCAAAGGCCGTCAAAGACTTGATGGATAAGAAATCGAACATCTATTCCTCACGAGCCCCTGCACCCATGGCACAAGATGTCTTATCCGCAGGCCGACGCCAATTGTTCATGCAATATGGACCCAGGTGGCGCAGCATCCGAAAACATAGCCACGCGCTCCTCAATCTCAACGCGAGTATCAATTACCAACCTGTTCAAGACTTTGAGAGCAAAGTTCTGTTAAAACAATTGATGCAAGATCCCAACGATTTCATGTCCATCAACAGACGCTACTCCGCCAGCGTCATAATGCTGGTCACATATGGCTATCGCATACCCAGTTGGGACGATCCACTCATAAAACGCATCTACGACGTGCTGGAGCGCTTCACTAGAAATACTGCACCAGGAGCATGGGCCATTGATTCGTTTCCTGCGCTAGCGTCCTTACCGCAATGGCTGTTCGGGAATTGGAGAACACACGGCCAGAAGCTCCGTGAACAGGATAGCAAAGTGTACCTTGATCTCTGGAACAAGCTCAAGAAGGACACCGATGCTGGGGTAGCAAAAGATTGCTTCACAAAGACATTTTACCTAAACGGACCCGAGAAGTCGGGCATCGATGAGCTGGCTGCAGCGTACACGTGCGGTGGGCTGATTGAAGCCGGGTCTGAAACTACAGGTACGACACTGAACAACTTTGTCCTTTCTATGGTTTTATTCCCTGAGGCGCAAAAGAAGGCACAGGAAGAGTTAGATCGTGTGGTTGGCAAGGACAGATTACCGACGTGGGAGGATGAGGAGAATTTGCCCTATGTGAGAGGTGTGATTAAGGAAGTATTGAGGTGGAGACCAGTGAACAAATTTGGAATGCCGCATGCGACTAGCGAGGATGACTGGTACGAGGGCTGGTTCATTCCCAAGGGAAGTATTGTAGTGCTGAACTGGTGGTATGACTCTCTGTCTCTTCACTTTACTTGTTGGCATCCTGAGATGAAGATTTTACTGATCGTCACAGGGCAATTCACAACGACCCAGACCTCTGGCCCAATCCCTCAGCTTTCGATCCCTCTCGCTACCTAAACCATACTGCATCTGCAGCACACTACATGAATACTGCCGATCCTTCAGAGCGTGACCACTTCGCCTATGGCGCAGGACGACGCTCATGTCCAGGCGTGCACGTCGCCGAACGTTCACTTTTTATCAACGTGTCCCGGGTACTTTGGGGGTTTAACCTTACTAAGAAGGTTGGAAAAGAAGGCAAAGAAGCACATGTCAACACAAAGATGGAGCCTGGGTTCTTTAGTGTGCCGGAGCCATTCCATTGTGATATCCGGCCTAGGAGTGAGGCGCATGCCAAGGTTATGAGAGAGGAGAGCGAGAGAGCAGAAAGAGATGGATTGGATTATTGAACAGGAGTTTTGATCATTGTAAAAGTACTACTTGCTGTATCTTTCTCAGTATCCTTGCCTCTTTGGTGGTTCCTGGTAGCCTAAATTCCAGATCTTATCACTCTCCTCGCCAATCCACCGCTGGCTTTCGTTCGGGTAATCGACCGGCTGCCTAAAATAGATATTCTCTTGAGACAACTCTACAGCCTGGCCGGTCAATGTGTCATCTGCTAAAAAAGCATCAATAGCCTTGTTCACTGTTGACAAAGGCGTAATGTGCTCTTTAGGCCAGCGCTTTGCGACTTCTGGAGGACAGAGGTTTGTTGGAATAAAGGCTGGGCAGATTGCGTTAACTGTGATGCCCTCCTTGACGAATACGGGTCCAGAGGCGCGGCACAGACCCACCACGCCATACTTGCTGGCTGTGTACTGGGGGCATTGTATCATGGAACTTGGGCTCTCGTTAGTCTCGTGCTCGGTCTCAACACAAGCACCAGGAAAAGAAGTACTTACTATAAACCGGCCGCACTACTCGTGGCGACGAATTTACCCTTCCCACCACCTGCCTCCTTGCTTCTTCTAACATAATACTTGAACAGCCACAATCCCTGCATCACGCCCTCGAGGTTGACCTCCATAGTCTTCGTATTCAACTTCTTCACCAGACCTTCTTCATCCACCTCTTCCTTGTCCATATCCTCAAAGATGTTCTGTCTATCGTCGATACCAGCATTTGCATGGCAAAAGTCCAGACGGTTGCCACCCCATTCGTAAGCGCGCTTGAAGAGCTGTGCTTGCGATTTATAGGAGGAAACATCGGTTTGGTGAAAAATCGCGTCGGGGCCAAGGCTTGCGGCTACACGTTCGCCTGATGATGGATTCAGGTCTGCGATGACGACTTTATAGCCTTTGCTGTACAGGTGGGTTGCTACTGCTTCGCCGATGCCGGAGCCTGCACCTGTTACGATAGCCACCGGTTTTGACATGTTTGTTATTATCCTTTTACTCCGTTTATTCCAGATATGATGCGAGTTGCGAAGGTAACTCTAGGGTTTGCAAGTAAAAGGTACTATATGTCGTTCCGGTGACTCTTGCTCCAAGCTCGCGTCTTTGCCGATCGGACGCATCCTCCGGCTAAGCTGCGCGGCAGGCATCATCGTGGTTGTGGCCATGGGGCGTGGAGATGGGTCGCGAAGACCCCACATGAAGCACGCCGGGAGTTGTGGACAGATACAGGTTACCCCGCACTAAACTACATGGAGCGTGCGGGGGTGAAGGTGCTCGGGGACTTCCGACCGATGTGCATCTTGGGTGATATCTACACGTGAAGATACCTCGGCGAGAAACACGACTTTACCAACAGTTAGATTATATATTTTTTCCAACGGATATGCTTGGTTAGTACGAGAGCGCAGAATGATCTTGGAAGCGTCGAGCCAAAATCGCTATGCAAATTCCTGCCAATCTACTTACCGGAAACGAACATGTCCCACGCCGCGCTCAGACAATCTAGATCGACATTTTCCAGTTTATTTCCTTCCTCAATTTCTGGCCCATAAACCTTGGTCCTTCCTTCTGCCCATGCACTACCAGCCTGTCCATGCACAAAAGTTATGAAGTCCTCAGCTAATCTTCGAGCCGTCTTCTTCGCCTCAACAGGAAGGTTTTCTTCGAAGTTCTGGAACAAGAACGCCGCATCCAACATATGCGTACTTTTGCCCTCGAACCTGCCTTGCCAAGGATTTGGCTCGGTGAAGAAGTAGGAGGAAACCTTCCCTTTGAATGCGCGAGCGTAGTACTTTGCAGGGAGACGGTACGCAATGTCTGTCGCTAAATTGACGATGGAGGACATGGCCTCATCATCAGGGGTTGAAGGTGTAACGCCATATGCTGATAAGACGGCTTGGGTGACAGACGTAGGAAGATTGCGAGAGAAGGATGAATGGATCGCCGACGCCGACCCATCATTCGGAAGGCCCATGAAGAAGAAGACATTGCCATCATGAGCACATGATCCTATCAGCAACTCTTCGCACCAGCTGTTGTTCAGACTCTGGAGTGTATCGGTCGAAAGTTGCGTGAATGTGGCTGCTTCTGAGAGAATATCGCCATCGATGTAAGGTAGAAGTGGCATATCCATTGGAGTCTTTTCAACAAGTTCCTCCGGACTCATGGCAATAAGACTATTGATACGTTCCTGGGTCGAAACGTGCGTGAGGCCTAGTTTTTGCACGATGGCGTTATATGATCTCTCAGCAACAGACGGTGATAGTGGCTTGAGCATGATCGGTGTTCCCGACATGCTTATCGCACGTCTGAACAATGGCTCTTTGGAACTCAATTGATGCAACACCGAGACTGTTTACCTGGTTAGCTCTGTTACAGCCCACTGAAATGCCACGGAACAACAACGTACCAGCACCAGCGCTCTCACCAAACAAGGTAACGTTATCCGCGTCACCTCCGAATGCACCGATGTGCTTTCTAACCCACTGCAACGCACATCTTTGATCCCTCAAACTGTTGTTCCCAGGGTATCCAGCTTTCCTCAATTCCTCGCTCGTCAGGTTTCCTGGGGCACCTAGACGGTAGTTCACGTTGACGACGATAACTGGGGTGCCAAGTTTTGCGCTCATTCTGACTAGACGCGCTGGATCGTACTGCGGCCAGGAGTTTGCGCCCATGATGAATCCACCGCCATGTACGAAGACCATCACCGGGACGGCAATACTCATACCACTGGGAAGGGATGGAGCAGTAATGTTGAGGTTGAGGCACTCAGTGCTGGACATGGGAATCTCAGGGCCAGTGCCGATAGTACATTGGATCAGGGTTGACTGCTCGAATGCGCAACCGTCCATTGCTGGCGCACGAGGTCTAGTGTTGTAAGTACGCTACTTGAAGGATGAGATGAGTGGAACAGAAGTGACTTACCCGAACTCTGTAGCATCAACCATTTTCTCCCCATACTCAGCAACAAGCTTAGGCGCCGCAAGCCAATCCCCCAGCTTGCCATACTTGATTCCCAGATACCTTTTCAAGCCCTGCTCTTCTCTGCCAACACAAGAAATGAGAGGCGTTACAAGTGTAGTCTTTATCCATTCCTCTTCAGTACAAGCCCGCAGGCCACTTGAGAAAATATGAGGAGACATATTGTTGAGTATCTTTCACTACCATACCCTCCATCTTATATTCCCTTCTATTCACCTTGAACCAGGAGCCAACTAGTGCCTCTACCAGGCATAGTCGATGCAGCATATACCGAGTAAGCACGCACAGACCAACAGAGACGAAGGAGGCGGGTACTCCAAGCTAAGCGAAGTCCTCCAGGCTGAATGCAGCAAAGTAGACACGTGACATCGGCCGAAACCCATAGGTTTTATATCACAAGAGTCTACGCTATGACCCTTGTCACGTGTACTTGAGATAGTGTTGAGGGTACCGCGTTGATAACCCTTGGCAGTCTGGACTATACTTTAACTACTTTGGGCATTGTGGCGTGGAACTGCGGGCCTGAGAGTGGGAATAGCGACATGCTATGCTAAGAAGAGTTTGGTAGACTTGTCATGTCGACCGAATGGTTATACTTCGTATGTACGCTTGTGACAGTAACGAAAAAGCGTCAGGGGCGAACACGCTCCATGCATCCCAGCATTTTCATGCTAGATCTCTATCTTTCGTTGCCGTTTCTACGTTATTTTCGGAACAAACTAGTCAAGGCCGAATTAGGGAACGGATTGCAGAGGTGCGGTATTGTGCATTTGGCATGCTCATCCTTCGATCCTGCCAAAACGCGCGTCTTGGCTACTGAGCCACATTATTGTTGAGTACACCAGATACATAACGCGCTGCTGATGCTATGTTTGAGAACGTTAATGAACTGGGTACTGAATCCGTTTCATTGTCTCTCTGAAAATCTTGTGATAGAAGCTCCTATTCTCTGATTACCTACAACACACTAGCTCTTGACGTCAATGCTCTTAACCAATTCCCCACCTAGTCGCTTAATCTCATGCACAATGACCTCTGAATTTACTTTGATCTCAACGGTATCCTTCTTTCCAGTGACTGGCACGCTGTTCCATCCAGCTTTGATCTTCCAACCTCTCTGTGCGGTGGCTATCGGATTCCATAATCCGACAATTTTGTCCAGTGTCTCCGGGTCCCAGAACCATAACACAGCATCGCCATAGACATCTAACAGATCTTGTGCAAAAAGCTGTGGAAGTGGTGTTACGGCCGGCGATAAACTTGATGTTGCCTTTTGAAGGTCGAGGTTCTTGAACTTGGGTGTGCTCTTGGTAGATTTTGTTGGTCTGAGAGTGTACTTTGATGATACAGTTATGACTATATCGAAGTCGGAGACACCAGGTGTGAAGAGCAATCCTGGGTTCAGAGCCTCTTGCATCTTAGCAGCATCTATGTTGTTGATGTGCCCCAGCAGACGTTCTTCGTCCGCACGAACAGCCTGTGTAGCGGCCTTCGCCAATGCGGTCAAGCGCGCAGCAACGACCTTCTCGGGCTTTGCTTTGTTTGTCCAAGTTGTACCCTCTTCGTCTAGATTGGTCGCAGCGAAGAGCACGACGCGGTTCATAGCGGGATCTATGCGACGCCATGCTTCGAATCGTGTCCGCAACCGGTCGAGATCTTCAGACTTCATGCCTTTGGATGTGGTGTCCTCCAGATCTGCAGGGTTTGCAGAAAATGTTGTTGAGAAGTCTACAATGAGCGGGACATGTCTCCAGTCCCATCGACTGATCCATGACAATGTTCGTAGGAAACCGGTGGTTGCGGTTGAAGGTACGGGCCAAGGATATGGTTGTAGGAACGTGCGAATGACGAGAAGCTCAATAAGTTCAGGGGAAAAGTGTGGGGCGAGGAGGTGCGACGCGAACCACTTCTTCGTCAACCGTATCGCTGGTGAAAGGGCCAGGAATCGGGTACATAGGGTTTGTAGGACTTGCGAATGTAGAGGCGCCTGTACGAACTCGCGCTTGTACAATGCCAGGGATGTAGCCGCGGACTCTCTCGATACGCCATCCAGCGACTTATCCTTGATTTGACGATCGAACAGAGTAGGCTCACGGTCGTGATAGATACGGATTCGGAACGTGAAACCCGCAACCACAGTGACATCAAGGAACGCCTGGTTCTGAGCTGGCTGTGACGGGTTCTCCATGCCAACACGAGCGACGTAGCCGGCTTCGAGCTTTGACAAAAGCTCAGCTAGCCTGAGCAGGAAAGCGATCTTGGTCCGCTGTATGGCACAAAGGTCATCCGGCCAGCGTCCAGAACCTTCAAATTGTAGTACGACTGAGGCAGGAGTGTGGCCTGGGGATGGAACATCGATGGATGAATAACGTAATTGCGGGTCCGCGGCTCTCAGATGACGAAGTCGAAGCGGGAGCTCTTCCAAGTCCCGGATGTCCTTCTCCATTGCACTGAAAGCGTTCATAATGGGTAAGAATGGCGCCGTTCCGGATTGTCCCTGCATCTGACCAGCCGGTATAAGGCGGCCGAACGCATCACTTGAGAACCTGGCTGACTCTGCCACTTTGTCGCCCACATGCTTACCTAAGATGTAAAGCACAATCTGTTCCATCACCGAAGCTGATGTGTCTTTGACGGACCAAACAACACTCTCGAGAATGCTACCATCCTTGAAGCGCCTGAGCTCCGCCTTCTCGCCCCAGAATTTGCGGAAGGAAGCAGCTTCCTGCTTGTTCTCTGCGGAAGGGCCATGATCAACGGTACGAGTGGCGTTTGCAGGATCCGTAGCAAAGTTTACAAGTATGCTCTTGCTTTGCTTTTCTTGCGGGCGTCGCGATAATATGGACCAGGATTCCTCTCCAGGCATAGTAAAAGACAGAGCTGTGATACGGTCACCAAGAGCGCGGGTCAGGGTACTGTTGATTTTCCTGCAAGTCTCGGTAATACGTTGGTCGTATTCCTCGCCTGCTGTATCAAATCCAAGCGACGCGAAGGGGATTTCGAGTGTGGCGTCGTAACGGTACTTCAACAACTCTGTCTTCAGAATAAAGGCAGCGTCGAAGTGATCGAACACAGAGTCGCTCAGCATGTCTACAGTTGCTTTGGCTTCAGATCGCAAGCGCGAGTAGGACCATGGGGTCATCTTGAAAAGGACGTTCTGTCCTCGCGGTCCGTCAAACACGACAGGCGAAGTCTCTGTCTTTGGTATAGTAATGTTGGTTGCCTGGAAGATGAATGGTTTCTTGGTAAGATCGCCTCTCGACAAGAACTGCAGTGTCGACTTGAAGAGTTGATAGCTACTGAAACCAGAAGAAACGGTTTGAGCGCCAGTTCCGGCATTCGGCTGCAAGAGTATAGCCATTATTGCAGCCCATTCGAAATTGCCAAATCCCCCCTTGCGAAGCTGACTGGCAAAACCACGCTGCTTCAGCCAAATACGACCAAGTATACAAGCATCCTTGAACGCTTCAGCTCTCGATGCGGTACCGTGGAGAAGCTTGAGGTAGGCTGTGACGTTGGTGTCCGACTGTAGGGTGTTGTTGTAGAATGGCGTTGCAGCAAGAGCCTTGCCAGACGCTTCGTCGTCGCTGCCCTTGGGGCGCACGCAGTTCGAGTTGGGCAAAAGTTTACCTGGCGCAAAGGTGTTTTCTGGCAATGCGACCAAGATGTTGATATGGCATTTGGAGCTCGAGAAGTCATCAGCATCCCCATTTCCGCTCGGACGTACAGTCAAAATGGGCTGGAGCTGGTTTCCATTCAGAGTGTCGAAAGACAGTTTGAACTTGTGCTCTTTCGAAGACTTGATCCCAGCAGCCAAACAAGCCAGATAGTACGAGCGCTTGTAGAAGTATCGGTGGTTCAAATAGTCCTTGTCGGTGAAGATGCTCTTCGGCATTGTGACTACCAGATCGACGGAGAAGACGTCTTCGTGTCGAGTCGCAGTCTTGAGCGGGTAACTGCCGGTCGCATTGATGCTCGCAGGTCGTTCATACTGCAGCTTATACAAGGCGTCTTTCGGCGGGCGAGGAGTGGGGAAGGGAACTGCGACACCGGCTGACTTGAGGGCTTTCTCAGCTTCAGCGATCTGCGTATTGTCAGCTTATGTTTCTTCCACTCAATTCTTCTGTAACGAACCGGTAGTGGATCGCGGCTGGGTATCTGCTCAATGATGGTCTTGAGGGTTCGCATTGCGTTCTCTGCAGGAGCTTCTCTCTTGCCGTACTTCAGCTTGACCTGATCCAACAGCTCATCCAGCTGGAGCTTGAACATGTTTGACTTGAAGGACTCGGCGGTGTATACGCCGTCCTGGAGGCTCGGCGCAGGTCTCTTAGGTGGCTTCGCTGCGCTCGTCGCTTTGCCGGCGGTGGTCTGCTTTCTGCTCGGATGAACATCTGCCTCTTCCTCGAAGTCATTTTCCTCATCCTCGCTTATGCTCTCGTCATCCTCGCCATCTTCGGCGGCTTCCACGCCGTCCATGTCGTCTCCGCTCTGGGCGGTTGCATCTTCGGCGTTGCTTGCGTCCAGCGCGGCTCCAGTGTCGGCCTCACCAAAGTCAGCAAAACTCCCTTCGCTCTCAGCTTCCGAGTCGCTGTGCTCGAGCTTCCTTCGTTTTGTCGCGGGTGGGGCCATGGCGGTTGTGCTTGAGGGTTGGTCGAATGCGACGCGAAATTTCTCTGGACTTTTGGCGCGACAAGGGTCGTCTTATCGATAGCAGGGATCAAGCATGTCGCGTCCCTTACATCACACCCCTCATTGACAGCTCCACGAGCTCCTCACCTGGGCGCGCTTGCCACATGTACTCTATGCATGCACCATGAGCTATTGACAGTCATAATCGCGTTAGCCTGGAGCTTCATGGTGGTCAACAATACACATGAGTACATATCTACTTGACTATAGTATCCTTTCCCCTTGCTTTCCTAAAACATCTCTACTCACGGTGCCGTTCCTAACTAAGCTCAACCGCATACGCGGGCCCTCTCTTTCCACCAGTCACCGCCATATCGAGGTACAGAGTAGAGCTTTCAGCATGGCTTGGCGAAGTTCTGGAGAGACTAACGAGGCGCTGATCACAAATCTCGTAAATAACAAGCTTATTGGGTCTGAACGTGTCAGAGACGCCATGCTACGGGTAGGATTAGACGTGTCGAAAACAACAACTAGTTCAGGTATAATAACAGTCAATAGGTTGACCGCGCGCACTACGCCCCAGCATCACCTTACGAAGATTCTCCACAGCCTATAGGCCACAAGGCCACCATCTCCGCACCGCACATGCATGCTTCAGCGTGCGAAACACTTCTCGACCACCTGCAGCCCGGTGCCAAAGTCCTTGATGTCGGTTCCGGCTCAGGCTATCTTACAGCTGTTCTCGCCAACCTAGTTGCGCCTAACGGAACCGTCATTGGCATCGATCATATTCAGCCCTTGAACGATCTAGCAGACAGCAACATGCGGAAGTCAGAAGAGGGACAGAGCATGTTGGAGTCAGGGCATGTCAAATTTGTGACCGGAGATGGGCGGAAAGGTTGGGCAGAGGGTGCGCCGTACGATGCCATTCATGTCGGAGCTGCTGCTGCTGTCCACCACCAGGCCTTGACCGATCAATTGAAAGCTCCGGGCCGGCTCTTTGTCCCAGTCGCCGAAGGCTGGGCGCAGTATATTTATGTCATCGACAAGAAGGAAGACGGTAGTCTTGAGCGCCAAAAGTTGTATGGTGTACAGTATGTGCCGTTGACGGATGCGCCAGTGTAGGTCAAGGTAGAATTCCAAGGGTCTTGTAGTCTATAGCCGTCTTGTACCACTACTATCCAATCATGCCCTCGAACAACTCGTCTCTGCTCCTACGTAACTCGTCAAGCCTAACCTCCAGCTTACCCACTTCTTTCCTGGCAGCTTCCTTGTCTGCAGGTAAGCCGCCAAACTCGGCAACCTGCCGCTCCAAGCCCTCGACTCGTTCTCGCAGCTCATCCAGAACCTTCTGCTGCTCCAACATGTCGGTGATGGCCTCGGCAGATCCAATGTTCTTGGATCCTGGCGTCATATTTCGCGACTGCGATGATTGAAGGGACGACAATTTGTCTTCGTGTTCGCGGATCTTTGTACGTAGGTGCTTAACCTGACGCGTCTGTTCCGTCGTCTGGCGCTGGAGACTGGACGGCGTTGCGAAGGCGGGGTTCGTTTGCAGCTCGTGCAGTTGGGTTCGGAGGAGGGTTTGCTGCTTATCCAAGTAGTTCTGTAGCGTGTGAATATGCGCCAGCTGATTCGTGAGGCTCTGTGAGGCGGTCGTATGCTGTATGAGAGCGTGCGCGATGGTCTCAGGGTTGGCGGCCGGTGCATTGAGGGCTACAGCTGTAGATGCCAGCGCATCAAGCGCCTGCTCGCCTTCGGGAGTCAGGCTTGCTTTGAGGCTCGATAGTATCTGTTCGTCGTCTTCATTCCTTTGGACCTACCGTCGTGAGCGGTGTGCTCGAAGCGCGACTGCTATTGCGGACCTATAATTCTCATACCTCATCCAGCTCCTTTAAAGCCTCCCTCTCTAAGCGCTCCATTACCGTCCTCTCATCATCCGCCCTCTCGTTCGCCATAGACAGCTCACGGAGTACTTTGAGCGTTTCGTCATTGCGCTCGAACGTCGGCACTGTACGACCAGCGTACTTGTACGACAGCCATGAGTCGATATGCGCCCAGTCCTGAGCCTGCGCACGTTGCTGGCGCGCCTTGGATGGCGAGAAGAGGTCCGATGGGGTGAGGTTGTCCATTGTTGTACTGGTGGTATCGTGTCGATTGGGGAGCTAGCCTAAGCTCCTACAGAAGAAGACAACGCAAAAGTGGGGCCAGTGCGAGCGTGAACCGGTTCAAATGCCCCAATCGAGGGTGCATATGTGGATGCAGTCACGTTCCGGGCTGCCATAGAGACGCGGAGAAAGTGACGCTGCATTATCGATAACCTTAAATTTCCACTTAGCACGTCGCAAGTGCCGAAGTCGGAGCTAATCGGCTTTTGGAATAATCCCTTGTGCAATTGGAGTCATTGCGTCTTTATATCTGATTTACCTGCCCCATTACTGGTGTCCCTCTCACCCTTTAGTCGCTGTTCTATTATTTCTCCCCATATCAACTTTCGACATGTCGCCAATGGTCCTGGAGAATGACGTAGAAGTGGGAGAGAGTCTGCCACCGGCAACTGAGCACGTGCGTCCAACTTCACTAATGGACTCCATACAATGTACTAACGAGTGTAGGCTGTCAGTGTCTCACTGCCGACATGGCGGGCAAACGTAGGATATGAAGAGGGTGAAGAATGGGTTATCAGCAAAATGAAGACTGGCTATCCTAGGTGCGGTGTGGCGAAGTACATGGCGAACGCACGCTAACCATCAAAAGATTCTTCATACATAAGGTTATACAAGCTTTTGCGGCTGCCATCGTCGAGAAGCATGGAAAAGATGAAGAGAGTGCGATGCTGTTCCCCACAAACGCCACCGCATCAAGATGTCAGGACTTCTTCCTACGGCAAGCACCCGACCTGGATGCGTCGCAAGTCCGGATTCTTGATTTCGTACCTGCAGCTGAGAGAGCACGTTCGGAAGAGTTGCAGATCATATCCCCGAGAGTCTCAGCTGTCCTCTTCCCAAAAGAGCGCTTTAGCATTGCCAAAGCATTCTGGCAGCACTCTGGGGATGGTGTGTCAAGTCGAAGAGCGGAGTACTGCTCCCAGCTTTTCAAGGAAGGCATTCTAGTAGACGCTTCGACGCTTAATCAGTCAGCAAGAGTATGCAAGGGTCCCAGACGATATCAGAAGAAGACGTCAATTGACCTGGACACCTCGGGCGATTTCACCAACGGCAATGGAGAGGTGCAGGATCCCACTCAGTTTGTGGAAGAGAGATTTGGTCGAAACCTGGATCTCTCCAAAACTAAGAATGCAAAATTAGCCATTCGCCGGCGCATCGCGGGTTCATTGACTGCGGACGTCAGTTTGACAGAAGCAATGACCTTGGATCATGATGCTGCAAGGAGGCGGCCGGTCGCAGGATTCTCTGAAGACGATGTATATCTGTACCCCACAGGAATGAGCTCGATTTTCAATGCTCACCGGAATCTCTTGAGAGCAAAGGGCTCAAAGAGAGCCATTGTTTACGGGTAAGCCTCTTACTTCGTCCCTTTATACCACGCTTACAAAATCAGCTTCCCTTATATCGATACACTGAAGATAACCGAGAAGTTCGGACCAGGCTCGCAGTTCTACGGGTTCGGCTCAGCAGAGGAGCTGGACGACCTCGAACAGCGTCTGGAAGGCGGCGAAAGATTCGTCGCGCTGTTCACTGAATTCCCAGGAAATCCGCTGCTGAGGTCACCAGACCTAGAGCGGATACGCAAACTAGCGGACCAGTACGACTTCTGCGTAGTTGTAGATGAGACTATTGGCAACTTCATAAACGTCAATGTTTTACAATATGCCGACGTCGTTGTCAGTAGTTTAACCAAGGTCTTTAGTGGAGACAGTAACGTGATGGGTGGAGGGTAAGCACTTCTTGTACGTCTCTATTCCAGAGAACATCTGCTGACAAACGTTTAAAGCCTCGTGCTCAACCCAAAAGCAAAGAACTATGCCCTTCTCAAACGAACATGGGAAGAAGACTACGAAGATAACCACTGGGCCGAAGACAGCATCTTCCTCGAGCGCAACAGCCGAGACTTTGTCTCAAGAATTGATCGTATCGGTACCAACGCTGAAGCCATCTGCGATGTACTGAGCGCACACCCTCGCGGTATGTTTTCCCTCCATATCTTTGTATTTCTATTACACCCTTGCGTTCATATACTTTCCGCCGTCACATGTCAAATTAAAGCATCTGCCTAACACTAGACAGTCAAACAAGTAAACTACCCCAAGACGTCACCAACTCGCCATTTCTACGAGAAATGCCGTAACCCCAACGGTGGCTACGGCGGTCTCCTGTCCGCGACCTTTTTCACTAAAGCGGACGCGATCGCTTTCTTCGACAACCTCGACACCGTGAAAGGACCCAGTTTAGGCACAAACTTCACGTTGAGTTCGCCCTACGTGATTCTTGCGCACTATGGAGAATTGGACTGGGTAAGTAACTTACCTTCTCTCTCGCTGCTGACATGGCGGCTTTGCTAACAATGGTATCATAGTGCGCGAAATGGGGTGTTGAAGCTGATCTGATTCGATTTAGTGTGGGGTTGGAGGAGACAGGCAAACTAGTCGAGACATTCAAAAGGGCGTTGGATGCCATTCCTTCTGCGCAGTCGTAGTTTGGGGCGAAACGAACGAGAAAGTAGCTGCAAATATAGCGATGCAGGCCGAATTTTAAACGTACCGATGTATGGTTACTGAACATTTGCTAAGTGTCTCGTACTTGCTGTATGCAGCTGCAGATATCGGTGGCACTTATCTATTGAAGTCGTTGCCATGGATCTCGTGTCCAATTCATGCAGTGAGAGTCCGGGCTATGGGAGTGCTACTCCAGCCATGAAAGAAATCTCTGTACGTCACTCGTTCGTTACCACACTCATGAGAGAACATCATGCTCTGTGTCGATCTTGCACTCAGGACGGGAAAATCAGAATCGAGAAATGTCTGACGCAGATCTTGCGCTGCGATGGACACAACTTTTCGGACATACGCCGGGATCAGAACCTGGTCATGAGAGAAAGGACGAATGCGTCATGCTGGAACCATTGTGATCGATTCCACAGGTTTTGGGTGGATCATGTCACTGATGATGGAGAGTGAACATTGTAGCGAGTCAGTAGACACACTATACGCGTATTCCCGACGGAAACCAGTTTCCCCGTCACATCTGTGACGTTTTGTTGTTGATCGGCATAGGTGTTTTCCACAACGTGCACATATTGCTTAGGCATGTTCTGCGACACGTACTCGGTAATTACTGGCCTCTGGCATAACCGAAGTATCATTACCCTTGACTATCCCATGCAGGTACCCATGTTGGTCTGACAGTTCCTCGATGCTCGTGTCGCAAACTTCAATCGTTCTTGTCTGGGTGCATTTATTGGTTCGCAAAAGCTACCTGGGCCGTTGCTGGATCGTTAAGGCAGACCGTTCTATTGATTGGATGCTGTGAGGCTCTCTGGGGCGGTTGAGCAGTTCCGACATTCCGTAGTGAAACACAGTAAGCAGTATGGAAGGCCTAAGAGGGCTGTGATTCGGCCAGGTCATTTGCGAGATCGAAGTCCAGTAGCGATCAATGCTGAGGCTTGGATGAGGTCTTGTAAGGCGTCTGCTTTGTCACTAAGAATAATTGGCTTACGATGAAGGTAAACACGCTTCACGTCTTTGTGGAGACGCGCAATGGCAATGGAACAGCAAGCCAGTAGTAAATGCAACTACGGTTAGTACTGTCAGTGATCTGTAATTGACAGGCTGCGCGTGTTACGTTGTTCTTTCGATATCGTGTTAGACGAAACACCTGGGTACTTAGTTGAGCCTGTATAGCAGGCACTATGCTAAGAGCAGAAACGGTTCCTCCACACATTTGAATCAGTCATTTGCATATTCGACCTGACGCAGCGAATTCATGCAAAATTCAGCTTCACTTGAGAACTTCACAGTGTTGTCATAACTGCTAACAGCTGTGACAGCTATGGTGTTTAAGTTGGCATAGTGCGATCCAGAGGATATTGGAGGTATCGTATAAGACATGTGACAAATGTGCCTATAGTACAATACCGACAATGTGGGGACTCCAGTCCCTGCGACTTACCAGGGAAATACCAGGCTGGGCATTTTAGCTTCGCATGAACTTCGCTTCATGCTGCCTGGCGTGAGTGCATCTTAAGCTCGGCTTCGTATGGTCCATCAGGCGTGCCAGCGGCGGCTGGGAAATATTTGCGTGAGCAGACTTGCAGCAACCCAGGGCTGAGCCTCAATTTTTCGGGGACCTGAAGACTACGGTCGCCGCCGATGCGTTAAGGCTGACCAACCTTGGAACCACGGAGATGCCTGCGGGTACCGTGGGTCTTTAGATAACAGTAGACTATGAGTCCCGCACGCGGTTATCTCGTGTCCTTACATACATGACCGCAACGGTGGTATCAGTGGCCAGGTGGTGACTGACTTGCATAATATCAGAGCTATGATGAAGCCGAATGATTGCTGCCGGCCGGCATCCTTTGCGTGCTCGCGTACCAGGGCGGAATCGGTATAAGTCGACTCCGGCGCAGTGGATCCACGCAAAACTGAGCCGTCTCAAATTCGAGAATAGGCAGGACCCGCTACTTTCGGCGATAGTGATTTGTGGCTTTGATGAGATGGCTGTTTAGGGGGAGGCGTGGAGTTGCAATTGGCAAAGAGCCCTGTCCAATCACAAGGGCCTTGGCACTCATAGCGCCACGACACACTTCACACGCGTAGCTGTGCGCTCGTCATTGCACTAGGGGGTCACGATGGCCTGAGTTCTACATACGGAGCCGAACTCCAGTCTCCGCAAACACATCAAAGGTCAAGCTTCTCTCGGAGTGGGGCCAGAATATCTACCGTGAAAGGCAGCACTTGCATGCCCCTCCGAAATTTCAAACACGTGGACTCTTCAGCATCCCATCCCAAGGTCTCGTTTCGGTCTCCACCATTTCCCTCTGTACTTTCATGAAGAGTTGTTCCCAGAGTCATATGTCTTCTCTGAAGCTTCGAGATGTCTTCCAGAAGTGACACCACTGCAGGCGTGCCGCCAAGTTCTTGCCGTTCACATTAACGGCATCGCTTCCGAAA